TATGTTTGAGCATAAGGTTGAATTCCAGCAAAAATCACCTACATAAATGTGAAGTGGGGCCACTCTTATGAGAATTGTGACAAATTTTCTAAAGCATTTATGAATAATCAAACACGCACATGGCCTATTCGCTCAAAACCATGGTGAACAACAAAAATTGTAAGGGTATAATATGATTGATGAAAATTATATTTCACATAAAGAATTTTTAGTTCATATAAGTTATAAACTTCACCAAAATTCTATGATTTATATTTCATTCTTTCTAGGCTTGGTTCATAATTCAAAAAGCATCAATCTCGATACATTACACGCGAGTGAGATTAGATCCAATAAAAACTTTTTATTATGAAACCTTATGAAATATGTGGGAATTGTTGGATATTTTATAAGGTTTTTATCTCACGTTGCCTAGTTATAAAAGATAACGTGCTTTATAAATAAACTTATTATGGGCTTATTGTAAACAAGAAAAGAAAGTAAACTCGCGCGCACACGAGATCAAGCCAAGTCTTAAGAAAAATGGATTTTTCCTCTCTAGTGCGCGAGTATACATGTAAGCTAGGCCTAAGTGATATTTTGTACTTTGATAGCTTTATTTTTTACCTTACTTTGACTTAGTCCTGTTATCATGGTAAAGAATTAGTATTTGATTCAATAATTGAAATAATATTTATAACATTTGAATCGGTTTGATTTGATCTTTTAAAATAACCTTATAGAATATTTTCTCTTGATTTTTTAACATTATAAAATATTTTATTTTGATTTTTTCCTTGATTTGCTTAGCTACTTCTCCCTATAAATACTAGCCTCCACCTCAGTTTCCAACACACCTCAATTATTACATTTTCTTCTTCTCTACTTTCCTACTTAGTTTTGCTAGGTCTTTTTCTTATTTATATTTTTTGTAGTTCTTGGTATCCTTGACAGTTTGTGCAAATTAATCAAGAAGATTTTGTTAAATCGTGGGAATAATTGTTATAGTCCTTTTGCACTGAGTTTCGTACTCTGAAAGGGTGCAAGATAGTGTATCACGCCTCAAACTAGTTTTTGCTATCATTTGCTTTGTTATTTTTCCAACAAAAACTTGATAAATTGTGAAAAAGATAATGTTAACCTATTTTAAAAAAACAAAAAAAATATAAAAAAAATTAACATCATAAAATAAAAAATAAATTTTCCATTAAAAATCACCTCTACAATGCTGAGGAATGAGCAAACTATTGTGACTTGTTATATCTTTATTAGATCAATATTTTTTTCTTTATTAGATCTTAATATAAATTTAAATTTATTAAAATATATTTTTTGTACATATTTAATCAAACACTCTTATATATATACTTTATTTTCTAATCAATACAAAACAGAATAATTTAACTCCAATCATATTTTTCTCAACACGGTATCAACTTAATAACCCTAAGCATGATTTTCGTTTCTTTTCCACCACCACAGCTATCTCTTTCCCACCCTTCTCCAAAGATTCCTCACCTATTACTTCTTTCACATATCCCACCTTTACCACTGTAACTGCAATCGAATCAAATTATAATTATTTCTGTCCATATATTCCTAATAATTCGATTTCACCCTTAATCGTCCAAACTGGCATTGCCCTTGATCACCAACCTTACTTGTCTTCGTCAAAGTTTGCTTTGTGGTGAAAGCTAGCCTAATGGCTTTTGTCATCAAAGATGAAGCAAACACAATGGATGTCTTATGGGTACCAGGTCGAGGGTAGCGATTAGACCTGATAATTTATTTTCATGTAGTCTATAAATATAAGATATGAACAATTATATGTGTAAATACAAGCACAATATAATCAATTAAACATGTCACAATCTCAAACACGAACATGAATATGTTTATTAAACAAATAAAACGACTCGCTTACCATGTTAATTAAACAAGTCAAATTAAAATTTTATATAACACGACATGATTTATAAACTGTTTAAATGATAAATACGACTAACACAATTAAATTAAAATGCATACAATTGCAAATGAACTTTAACTTTAATATTCAAATTCAAAAGTAATAATCATAAAAACAATTATGATAAAACAATAATATTTGTCAAGTATAATGAAATCCATCACAATTATCAACAACCATAATAAGATAAACTATTTATATTGTAGTTTAAACGGGGTTATAAACGTGTCAAATTGATACATTTACACAATTAATTAAATGTGTAATAAACAAGTCATATGTAATGTGGATACACGATAACACAATTAATTAAATATATCTTATATGAGTTTTAAATAAGTTAAGCAGATTTGGCACACTAACACAATTAAAAAAAATATAATTAAAAAATCCTATGACAAATCGGGGTAATGATGACTCTAGTCTGCTGGATCTTCTCACATTTGACCTAATATAGACAAGAAGATAATTGTGGATCTGTTGATGGCCTCCTACAACTAGCAAAGCCACTTTGGAGGAAGAGATTTAATTGGAATATGGGGGGAAAAGCAAGCAGTGGGGAACGCTGTTAACTCTGTCGTCAACATGTTGGTCACTTGACATTGGAAGGATCCTTTTGAGCCATGCTCTTCCTTGCTTTATGCAAGCTCATCATCTTCATCCTTCCCGCTATCTCACCTTGCCTCTGATTTCGCCTCTTCTTTTTCTTTTCTGGCTCTCATTTTGTTCTCCCATTTCGAATCATCTACCTCAGACTTTTCATTTCTTAGTTCCATCTCATCCCTTAACATTACTTGTTCAAGTGTAACTTATAAATTAGATTGGATTCACAAATAGTTGTATTGAACTTGAAATTCTTTTCCTTTTTTTTTTTTTCTTTCGAAAAGATTGTTACTATGAATAGGCTACCACAATCCTAGATTGAGAAGGAAAATGATACGTAATTTCACCATTTATATTGTCAAATAATTTTATATTTTAAATAATGTGAACAAAGGTTCATGGATATTCTTTTATTATAAAACAGACAAATTGATTGATTGAATCAACTTTTTATTGATAATTCAAATTTTTTTAATGGTCCTATATATCCTTGTTCTTGAGGGAAACAAATGATACATGTGAATGGTCAACATTTGACTGCTAAAGTAATGAAAAGATGTTCGTGTGGTAGTGATTATACAATCAATGGTCCGTATGGAAAACTTCTTTTTCATCTTTCTCTTCGCAGCAGAGAAGACGAAGAACACGTCTTTTACAATTTGTTCCAACTTTTTCCAAATCCATGATGAAAGGAAGAAAAGTGGGTGCAAATGTTGGTGCTCGGCTTAGTCAAATCACTTCTTTTGAGAAGAAAGTGGTCATCATATCTAATCTAAACCAAGATTCAAAAGGGTATTTTGCGCGTGTCCCGCCCACTAATCGAATCATAAAGGCAAAACGAAACCCAACAAGCACATGCACAACATCAGAAAGTGAAAGTCAAAACACAAACTATATAAGAAATGGACCCCCATGACAATTGCCATCATCAAAACGTTGAAATTCGAGTTTCCGGTGCCGGGAATCACCCCCTTTCTACATCCTACCCCCTCCAACCCAGCTACAACTCTTGAGTCCCGAAGAAATTTTGCTGGATGATCCCTCCTTTTCAGTTTGCATTTGCAAATCTAAGGGGACCATTTGACCAGGTTCTCTGCTCATTTGAAGTTTAAAGTAACGATTTCAACTTGTTGGGCTCCGTCAAAAAGGCAAAGAAACACAACTGGCAATGACGTTTGATACCATCCTTGCTAGGAGAACTAGTATAATTTCTTTCACCATGCATTTTGTGTCAAAGAAAATAAGATTGCAATGCCACACTGTCCTTTGTAGCAAAAGATTGTTTAGTGTTCTAAGGAATTGAGACATTTTTGGTAAAAGAGTGAATGGATTCGTGCCTTTTCCCTCTAATGTAGCAGGACTCCTCCTGTTCTGGGGATATGATTCAATACGTCTTATCGTTACTAGACTTTCATGTACTTTTGGTTCCCTTGTCTCGATCACTTGAATCAGTTCCAGAGGGATTTACGCAGTTCAAAATTCATGCTTCATTTGACAATATCTTATTAGAAGAAGAGCAGTGGGTTGACTCGTTGAGAATATTTTTGCTGCTTTTTGAACCGGGCCTCTCAATACCGAATCCAAGAGGTATGAATGAAGCCAGGAACAAAGATGAAAAACAATCTGCAAAGATAACATATTTTACCCGGAACAGTCAACGGAGAAATTATTAGTATTATATATTCGTTGAAGAATTAAGAACCAGAGATTCTACAAGTTTGCTGCAACCATAACACGTTTCCAAGGTCGTAGCATTCTATTCTCTTCTGCCAATGCTCTTTAAACTTGTCCACATCTATCTGCACTTTAAAAACTTAAAAATAAAAATTTATCCGCTATTGCTTCTACCTTTTTTCAGCACTTCAAAGAGCATTGATACGGTAAAAATAGACAAATGTCAGTCCAGAGATGCCCTGGGGTCTCCCTTATTCTTACCAAACAGGCTTTGGCTCCGACAGAGTTCAAAAGATTTGCCTTCTCTTTTTCTTCCCCACTCCAATACTTTGATGCACGCAGCCCTCTGGAATCTATAAACCAATGATTTTTTGTTTTGTTGCAATTTTTTTAATTTAAATTCAACATAGTCCTCTAACCTCTCTGCACCACAGCCTGTAATGTCTATTTAGAGAAGAAAGCACAATTCTTGAAGCATCAAATGGGGGTTTGTTGCATTGCACTAGAGAAGCTGTCCCACCTGACTTTATTATGTCCATTTGTGCTGATTGCTTCTTCCGCCTCTCAGATTGGTGGAGGGAAAAGAGCAGAGAGGAGAAGATGGTCTTAAAGGAAAAATGAATTGAGGGTATATTTGGGGAAGCAGTGGATGGTGAAAGCAACTGAACAAAAGCATAGGACGGAGGCCCACTTCTCATTTAATTTAAACTTTGTAGTAGTTACTGTTTACGCTACAAAGCCAGCAGTCCTTTTATGGGCTCTATAAATGCTCTCAACAAAGGTTTTGATTCCCTGCTTCCAATGCTTTTAACAAAGTAGCAAACCATATCTCCAAAAACGCACATTCTCTCACTCTCTCTCTCTCTCTCTCTCTCTGAAACCTGAATAATATATTGCAGTTGTTAGCATCTTGAGACTTGACTCTTCTTAAATCTCTGATTCTGACCAAGGTACCATGAACTTCCTGGCGCTGTTGCTAATGGCGATCCCTAGTCCAGTTCATGTCGTTCTTGTTGTTACTCTGTTGAGCACTTTGGCACCGACAAGTGCAAATGTGGAAGGTAGACTAGGAATTTTGAGTTCCATTAAAACAATTTACTATATTCAAATGCAGTTTCTTAATGGCATGGATGTTATCCTTTGTGGGTGTATATTGATGAACAGGGGATGCTTTGTATGCTTTGAGGAGAGCTGCGAAGGACCCGGAAAACGTGCTGGAGAGTTGGGATCCAACATTGGTGGATCCTTGTACTTGGTTTCATGTTACCTGCGATGGTGATAATCGAGTTACACGTCTGTAAGCACCATTATAATCACTTCCACAACCTTTTTGTTTCTTTTCTTCTTCACTCATTTAACACCTTTTATGTCATGATGCATGTAGATGCGGTTTGTTTCTTTAGTCCGTTCCTATACCTCGGTATTTTGCTTGATTGAGCTCTGGAAAGTTTTGTCAAGCCTCATTTACTTTTGTAAAATTGTAAAACTGGATCATGACTGTATCATCTGGCTCCGGTGAATGAATATATGCGTTCTGCTTTTAACCATTGGTCAGGTAGCTGAAGTGTTCTTGACCTGGTGAAATCTGTTTCACAGGCAGCATTAAGAATCAAAACTTATTGTTTTTATCTCTTTATCTATCAGCTAATAAACTCCCATGTGGGCTAGTTTTTTTAAATGATATAACATATTTAGCCTGAATTAATTTGCACTTGTACATATGTTAGCAATCATTTCTTAATTAAATACAAAGCAACATAATTGGTAGATTTGTGTTATATCCGCAAGAAGAGCTGGAAAAATCATGAAAAAAATATAGATTTGCCATTTGTGAGGAAAAGAAAAGGAACAAAAAAGAAGGCGGTTGGCTCCTATGAAATTGTTGTGCAAATTTTGAATTGAAATAGCACTAGCATTAGTCTGTATGGATGTCGAAGAAATAACCAATGAAGTACTTAATAATGGTGCAGAGACCTTGGAAATGCAAAGCTGTCGGGCAGTTTAGTACCCGAGTTGGGAAAGCTGGAGCGTCTTCAATATCTGTAAGCATCCATCACAATATCTTTGCTGCCAATGCATACTTTAATAAAGAAGAAATCGAGGAACCAATGACGTCACTTTCTGGGCATTGCGTCAGAGTTAAGTTATCGAGGGGATGTTAAAAATGGCTGGCTTGGAAGATAGGACTATGAGATTTATTTGCACTAAATGCCGAGGCTGAGTCATTGTCATTGTCCTAGTTACCTGCTCTACTAACATTTATGATTAACCTCACCAAGCATATTAGCTAGCCGGTGACTCCGTGGCTGTCCGATCACTGGCTGGCCGATTTTGATGTTAAATTATTATTATTATTGTTATTATATTCTTTTCATGGTTGATGCATGTTTACAGGGAACTGTACATGAACAACTTGGTGGGTTCCATACCAGAGGAAGTTGGAGGACTCAAAAGCCTAGTGAGCTTGGATCTCTACCACAACAACCTTACTGGGTCCATCCCTGCTTCACTTTCCAAGCTCTCTAATCTAAAGTTCCTGTAAAGCCTTTCCTCTTTTTCCTTTCTATTACAAAGTTTAGTTGATATTTGATGGTCGTTAATGTAAACCTGCAACTGAGACTCTGTTGATTCATTCCCACGCAGGCGACTGAATAGTAACAGACTGAGTGGAAGAATACCAAGACAACTTACAAAACTTGGAAATCTAAAGATCCTGTGAGTCATCAGTCATGGCATTGTCATGGTTTAGTCTAGTCTCTATTCAACACTCGTTTTAGTCTAAATATCCTCCTAGCCTAGTATTATTTAACACCTACTGTTGTCGAGCAGTGACGTATCCAACAACGATTTGTGCGGCACCATCCCTACCTCCGGCTCCTTCACTAGGTTGTCAGAGGAAAGGTACTCATTAACTTTGAATTTTGGTCTTGGTACAGAATTAGAGTCGAAGGCTGCGATTTGCTCTCTTGCTTGGTTGTTTCATCTCGTTTTTTTTTTTAAAATTTTTTTTGCAGTTTCACGAACAACTCGAGACTGGAAGGACCAGAGCTGATGGGATTTGTGAGATACGATACAGGAGGGTGCAAATGATGCCCAGCAATGACTCTTTTTGCCAGTTCCATATATTGTCTCTTTATATGGAAGGGTTGTGTTATATACTAGTTATTGCTTGGCACGTAATAGCAGTAAAGACTACTTGTAGCAAGTAGTCGTCATCTTTAGGAGTCAAGCCTAAGCCAATTGTATCTCCTTTTGCTTGCTGCAATATGGAGTTGTTCATCCACTCTGCATCTACTCCTTTGGATTTATCATTTTATACTATCAGACAGTAAGTATTCGTCACATTCATCCGCATAGGAAAAAAGAGCTGAAACATTCTAATTGCTTTCTTATCCACAGCACAATCATACTTTTCAATGTGCTTGGGCACAAATTGCAGTGACAGATGTTGAGAATCACCATCCCCTTACAGAAACTAATAAATGTTGTAGAGCTTCATAAATCCGGCAGAAGATCTTCTGGAGCTCAGCATTGGACAAGGTTTTCTCTCTACCCTTCCAACTTATCCAATGCCCCTAACTGAAAATACTAACGCGATTCAATTGTCCTATATCAATATTTGGACTATAACTCGTAACCTGCAGGTTAAAATTAGGGAGACCTTCCCCATTAGCGAATGCAAATGAAAGAGAAAGGTATAAAATTCAAAATTACTCATTCAACAGTGCTGACCTGCTTTTGATTTTCATTCTAAAACCGCAAGGGAACTCAACTCATCGGAATCAATAACAGTAATAACATTTTGTGCATATATATAGGTGTGCAGTGATTAGGTTTTGTTTGGTGGTATCAACTTTCACTATCTACGTTTTACTACAATGTACATAACAAGCTTTGTTATAATACAAAGGAAAGAGCAAAATGGAAAAAGGAAACTCATTAGTTAAACGGGAGAAAGTAACTAAAAAGTTACATCCATCCAGGCAAGATAAATGTACATTCAATCAGAGGCATATTTTCAAAAGCCTGTTAAAGTCAAACCTTTAGAAAATAAAATATTCAAACTAAATGTGTCCCAATTCAATCATTACCTATTGCATTAACTAATTTGAAACCAAAAGAAACCTTATTTGTCCCGCAATGGCAGTATTCCAGATTTAACTCAAAGACTAAAGTTAACAGAAATAATATAGTATATATTTGTGGAAAACCATTTCAGTGTGCCCATTCCAACTATACATGTTCACCCAAAAAAAATGTTATTAAGCAAGTTTTTTGAAGATCTCACTGGCAAAACTTACAGATATTAATTTGATACAACATAGAACTCCTGTTTCTAACCAAATTCTTCATACATCAGCAGTGCAGTATATTAATTTAGATTATATGAAATGCTGACTCACATCTTTTGTGGTTGGGTTATGGATGTGGAGGGTTGAGGCCTAAAGGAATGAGTCATGGACTAGTGAAAATAAGACAACATAAGACAAATCAATTCACCGATTCTGCCAAATATTATTTAGTAGTAATTTGCATAGGGTAAAAGAATTGAATTAGCTATTAAATGCCTTGGAGAAAATACAAAATTTCTCAAAAATGATGGAACACGTGACAATTATTTGACTAAGCCATGCCAAGTGTTCTTCACAATAGACAAGGAGTGGCTAAAACATATCAAAATGATATAGGAAAAATAAATAGACAAGGATATATTCACATATCTGCACTTGCATGATACGGTAAAAACTCTTTTTAGCCCCCATTGGTCAGAAATGAAATCAGTACCAGAAATAGATTTAATCAATCAGCTCCTGCATTAATCACACATGTACAATCAGAAATAGAATTAAAAAAAAGAAAAGAAAAAAGAAGCTATATATAAGGCACACCAGAATGCATTATATGCAATTGTTCATGCTATTGTAATATAGACCTTGCATGCCAGGGTAATACCAAAGAAAAGGACCACTAATGGAGCAACAAAATCCATCAAAAGTTTCTAAAACTGCTGCTTGTTAAAAAACAACAGAATAAAGATGGCAGTTTGACAAGAATATTCCAAGATTGCATTTACACTCAAAACATCGACGAATCTATACAGCCCCAATAAACTTGGAGACAAACAAAAGTATCAGCACATAGCATTTCCAGGCTGGACAGGCAAAACATCGAAATTGAGTTTTGTGAATTTACTGGATTTAGATCATATATTTGACTTTTGAATATACATTATCAAACATGTGTTGAGTTGGATAGATGTTTAATAAAGTATCAGACCTATGCACTCCCAACCACTGTAGAAAATTGTGATGCAGTCGGTCCATTTTAAGGCATATTCATGTTTTAACAAGTATTGAAAAGTTACAAAGTCATGTATATAAGGAGGAAGAAAATTGCATAAAAAAGCATTGATTACTCAACTGGTAAAGTCATCTCATCCAGTGACTCCCAGGAAATACCAACCAATACTGGAATTTAATCACTTTAGTGCATGTTGATCTAAATGGATCAAAGAAAACAAAAGCATTGTGTTCTGATTACCTATCAACAGTCTCTGAACTAGCTGATGACGGCTGGATTTGAGATAAAGATATTGGTGTCAAAGGAGGTGAGGCAACATCTTCAGATATCCCTGAATTGACAGCAGTTTCCAGTGGCTCGGACACAGGTAATGACATCACTCTATGAGCACTTGAGGGTATGGAGAAACTGCGGGTGACAGCCTGTGGAGGTTTTGGCAGTGGAGAGGCTGCTCTTGACACCACTGATTTATTTGTAGCAGAGAAGGCTTGACCTCTAGACATCAAAGGGCCTGAATAACCAACCAAGCCTAAAGGTCTTGAAGACTTGGAGACTGAACTTGCTGGGGGTCTTGGAAGCTCATGAAGCTCACTTATTTTAGGTGATGACACAAAAGTAGGGGAAGTATTTGGTGATACTTTTGGAGATGTTGATGGTGGTTGAGACATTGGATTTCTCAAAATTGGTCCAGAGAACAATCCAGGATGTTCCACTGAAACAGGTTTAGTAGGCCATGGTTTACTTGTCAACGGACCAGAGAAGGCTTGTCGTTTGATTTTCTTGGAATCAGAAGCAGCAATTGGACTAACCCGCGAAAATAAAACCCTATCAGCCAAAGGAGGGGGTAGTCGAGTTGAAGAAGCATTATTATTGCTCTCTTTCAGCACTGACTGTGCATTCATAACAGCAGATCCAGAATATTTCTCATCTCCCAAAATCCTCTCATATTTCTTATGTTCAAGCGGAGATGAATGCCACAAATTATTTGAACGTTCATTCAAACTTGTCTTGAAAGATTGAGGAGCTGGATTACCTAATCCAATATAACCTTTTGTAGCAACTGGTGTAGGTAATACATATGAGTTGAACTTTCGTGCCAATAACGGTTGCATTTTCTCAGAAGGGTCAGATTTGTTTTCAGCAAAAAGCGGGGCTGATTGGCTGCTGTTCCTCATTTCCCCTCTAAATGAAAAAGAATGGCGGCGCGTTCTTTCTAGATTTTCCTGCAACATAACACAAGGAGCATTGAAGTATTTGTTTGCTGCAAAAGGGGGGAACAAAAATAAATGCAAAATTTGAGGTTGTAGAGTTGCTTCAAAGGACGCATGTCATCTTGTGTTCCACAAATGTCCATGCATATAGATCTGTTGACCAATCACTGAAATTGCATGGTTAATTTTATAGTCCAGTGAAACCTGATATCTAACAGGATGATTAGTTTCAAAATATTTGATGGTAAAACAGTTTTACATTAAAAACCAATATCATTTGTCAGCAGATCAAGGACATATGCCATGGATTGCAATTAATAGAATGATATATTATCAGGAACTGCTCATTAGACAGCTCTATATGAACATGTAAAAGACCCAAATTTGCAATATATATCCAGCCTCATATTGTGAATCATAACTAATAATATAGCTAGTTCTTACCTTTGCAGCCTCCACCATTGCAACTTGGGGAAATGTAAGGCCCACTTGATCCAACTGCAAAAATCACAATGAAATCATTCTAAAAATTTGGGGAAATATAGCTAGTTCTTATTTTCCACAAGTCATCTCCATGGGAAGTCCATACAACTTTCTTTTTAACACTCAGGACCAACGTTTTAAAAACCGGACCGAAGGTTGAACCAGTGAGGCTCCTGGTTCAACCGGCCAGTCCAACTAAAGGTGGTGCTCTAGTTTAAAGTGTGATTTTGGTATTAAAACTGTAAACACTTAAAAAAAACATGCACTTGGCTCAATGGTATGGTCATTAATAGACAGGCAAGAGGCCAAATGTTCAAATCTTACCACTTGCAAAGAATTTTTGAAATATTAAATAATAAAATAAACGCTGAAAACAGTTCAAGGCCAGTCTGGTCTGGTTCGACCAGATGATTGACCATTCAATATACACTTGGTTCAAATGACTTTATTGGACAGGATAGCCACCAGTTCCCTGTTGAACTGATCTGACCAGCAGGTCAAATCCGTTTTTTCACCACTGCTCAGGACTCAGGAGAATGAAGTTTATTCAGACACACACTCACACACACACATAAAAACAATTGGATTTCAGCAAAGATGTCATTTATCTTTTTGCATCCAGAAATAGCACATTAAATAGTCACCTCCATCGAGTGTCGTGTTGTAGGAACCATGTTCTGATCTTGGTCATTTTGTCCATAGTCAAAGCTCAATTCACCATCATCATGCATGTCATAAACATCATTGTCATCATCATCACTATCATAATCTTCATCATTGTTATCATAACTGTCATCATCCCCACCATTGTCTCCGTCATCATCTTCAAGTCCACTGAAGTGGTAATCAATATGCTGCTGCTCAGTGATCTTCTGCACATGTGGCTCTACTTCTTCAAGAGACTTAAGAGCCTTTTTAAAAAAGGACAACTGCTTTCAAGCAAAGGAAATAGAACAACAATCACCCACAGAAGGAAGAAAAAAATTCAACAAAGTAAAGAAAATGGAAAAGAAACCTGAGCAGCATGGTGTCTGGCCGCTTGTGTAAGAAGGCTTCTTGATTGTCCTTGCTTCAGAGATTTCAAACGAAAAACAAATAAAGTTGCCTCCTCATCATATTCATCATGTGCTACCTGTAATTGTTGCATAGAGAAATTCTCCACTTTCCCACTTTTTGGTCTTCCTTTTTCTTTGAGTCTCATTGCCATGTACTCGTACACATTTCTGTAGATAAGGCACCAAATTTTAGAAGCCATTATTTTTGAAAGACGAATTCTGTGTCTGCATATTTGTTTAAAAGAAATAAAACTTGGACCTTTTTTCATCACATTGCCGCTTCATCTCCTGTATCAACAAAAGGGAAAAAGTTCAATATTACCTTATCGAAATGCTTAACTGGCTCTATAATATATAATGCAATATTGTGTTACTAAGTGATTCACCAATGAATATTTAAGCATTTGTTGATATTATTCACATAACACCTAATAAAATGACGATAGATACATCAATGCTTCTGAAGAAAAAAGCACATAACATACAGAGTTAAGATGCCAGAGATAAATCCTGTATCCAATGTTGGATTCTTAAGTGAGCCCTTACAATGTTTGAAAACTCTTAAGCCAATAATTATCACAATATAAAATGCAAGTTTCAAAGGGTAGACCTATCCATAGCATTCAAAATGTCATTATAAGGGGTTCATATGCTTTAAAGCGACCACAGAGAGGAACAGAGAGGCATTTCTTTGATCTTTCTTGGTGAATAAGTTCTATTCCTTGAAAGAAATAAAGAACCAAATATAACAAAGGCCTCTTTACCCCACTTGTCGTTCACTCTTTCAGACAATTTCCAGGTTGCAAAGCTTCCAAATTGTTTATGTTAACAGAAAAAAAGTGGGGTTAATAAGTCTTAAAAGACTATGCTCCTATCACCTGATCTTCAGGTGTTAGTCTTATCGCTAACCACAGGGAAAAAGTGGGGTTAATAAATCTTAAAGGACTATACTCCCATCACTTGATCTTCAAGTGTTAATCTTATTGCTAACCACTAATATCCACACATCATCATTGGTATGTACATTTCGAGAAATTGTAATATTATGGACATTTAAAGGAAAAAACAATTATGACTAAATAATTGGAGCACTGCATCAACAAGAAGAGTCAAAAAAAAAAACTAAAGCTACAACCTTCACATGATAGAATAATTAATACTAGCAAATTTGCATAGCAAAAGACCAAATAGAACTTGCCAATAATTGGATGAAAGAAGGCCATATGAACAAACCTCAACTATTCGAAGCTCATTAAGAAGGGAGTCTGATGGGCTTGTGATTGTCTTAAATAAATGAGACCGCTAAAGGATGCAAAGTAATATTTCATTAGCACAGAAAAGAAGCAAGACATAAAATTTTATGAGAGCTTCCAGATAGTAACAAACAATGACTCACATAGCTATCAACATGTTTCTGGAGTTCGAACTGTACTTTTCCAAGCATTAATAATACTTTACCTGGACAGGAACAAAAGCAACTTAATTTCACACATCCCTTTTTGAAATGGAATTGCTGCTACACACAAAAGAGTATGCATTCTGATGAAACAACTATTATCCATCCAAAACCAAGTACTACAATCTGAATGTGCCAAAAATGGATAACCATAGTACCAATGCTAAACACATTTAAAAACCAATATGCATCTTTCTCGAACTTGACATATGAAGGTAATAACACTAAGGATGCATTACACATGTCAGACTATATTAAATGTGAATAAGCCATGATTCAAATGAATGAAAAGAATTGACTTTTAGTTGATTCATCTCTTAAATCAAATTTGACATCCAAAACACAAGTAGTACTTTGAAATTGGGCAACTTATCATGGGAAAAATTTATTTACCAGTGATGAGTACAAAAGTAAAGTCTTACATGGAAATTGAAAAGCCACGTGTTATTTGTTCAAGTTAACTGGTAACATTGAATACGCACACACGCGCACACACACACACATATATACACACACGCGCACACGCGCACTTACCACTTTCTTCATCATCATTCAATGCCGTTTTTGCAAGAAGACAAGCACCCAATTCCCGCAATGACACCGAGAATTCTGAGAATAAACAGGGCTAAATGAGAGATTTCAAGAAATGGCACAGCATACAAAGTATTCCGTATAAAAAGCTAGCAACCAGATAATTAATATTTGATCATCACGCTTAAGCTTGAACCAACAAATAAAATACCGTTAATGAACCAATGCCATCATTTTTACAGCAACTATTTCCACTGCTAGGTTTATAAAATTGTCAGTCTCCAGGGCTGCTACTTGAAAAGAAAATTTTAATTCAGCAATGACGTTTGCATTTTGCAAAAGCAAGTGTTTAATAATTTTAGATGATACTAATGCTAGAGTTCAACTCGATGTATTAATTACCATGAAAAGAACAAATCATGCCATCATAGAAAGAGCTTGAAATAATTGAGGGATGCCTATACAAGCATAACATGGACAACCAGCCGCACGAGCAGCAAATAACAAAACAATCAATGCTGTAAAAAACATAACATGAACAAGATTCAAAGCATGCTTAAATGAATTCATAAGACAAATAATAATAATTTCAGTGACACACAAAGAAGAAATACAAGAAATTCACAAATTAATACAAAACATGTCAATAAATTACCGTAAGCACTATTTGCAGTTGCTGCAGCTGCAGAAAGTAAGCTATCATAGCAGTCTCTCATATCCTCCATATCCTGCAGGCACAACAAAGGACAAACATATCATACAAAACCGTTGATAGATCACCCCACCATTATAATCACCACATTTGAATAATTTGCAGGACACAACTTTAGGAAAGTGAAAATTCCAAGCCCCGACTTTGAGCAACTTTCATTGGTCACAGCATTCCTACTCTTAACAGTTTATACAACAAGTGCTGAATTAATCCTTTAAATCAAGCCTTCTCTTTTATTAAAATGCTAAGCAAAATCGAAGCTAAAAAGGACTCATTTTTTCAAGTAATCGACATATTTTAGCAAGCAATTATTCCAGGACCGGGCTGGAAAGTTTGCTCAGTTAATAAAATTAAATAGAACAAAGCATTTTTATAAAAAAAGAAAAAAAAAGTAACGTACAAATCTTTCCTAAAAACCCTCTTAATTCATAATATCAGCTCCCAAAGCAGAGAGAAAACCCTAACTGAAAATTGAAGAATGGAAAGAGAAATCAAAATTAGGAAAGGAGCTGGAACTAGAAATTGCAATGACCGTGGAAAAACTTAAACGCAAAAAAAAAGAAAAGTTGCCCTTGGATTTGTTAGCAACCAAAGAAAGCAAGAGAGGGAGAGAGAGAGAGGTGACCTGAGAAGCCTGAGCGAGCTCGTCCAATTGAGCCAAAGGTCGAAGATCTCTTCGGTCCTTGGTTTCCCCACCGCGTTTGTGAAGTGCAAAACCTCGCAACCGTCTCAGAGAAGTCTTCATTTATTTTTCGTTTATTCTTTTTTCTTTTCCCCGAGATATACACAAACTTTTCTTGAAAAAGAAAAAATCCTCTTCTAATATCTGTTTTTTACGTGATTTCAATTTGCAAGTAAAAAAAACGGAGTTCCGAGATCAAATCCCTTCTTCTTCGTCTTCTTCCTTTGTTTCAGAGTATTTTTTTCTCGTTCCAACTTTGCATTAGCATCATCTCATATCTGTCTGGTTCCGTCAACTACATAAAAGGAAGAGGGAAAGCATACAATCAACTCAACCACATACGTTGTAGGAATAGAACACAGAGACCCAGGAAATTGCTGTGTCTGACTTGTTCGCCCCGTTAGATTCCTTTAGCCCTTTCTTTTCTAATCTGTTCAGACTTTTTTCCCTTCATTTCTTTAATGTTAAGTCGTTCAAAATTCACACAAGCAAATGCCACCTAAATCCTTTATTAAAGGCAAGGGTCCCTTTTGCCAAGTTAGAAAATTATTTTTTCAAAAAAAAAAGTAAAATTATTTTATACTATGTAAATTAAAACTAAATTAATTCATAAATAAACTGTACAAACTTATGTAAATTTATATATATATATATAGGATAATTTTCATCAATAATCACCTATAATTTATTGATCTATGCTGTGGACTAAACGGAACATGTTATATTTGATGAAAGGGAGAGCAACAATAAATAAACAAGGTCAAGGCTCATTATTTCTCCTTTTAATGAATGGTCGGGTCTCAATCCTGCTCTTATGATGGCTGTATTACTTGATTTCTTTCTTCTTTTTTAAAAAATGGTTAATTATTCTGTTTTGTAATTTAAATTTCTTTCATCTATTTTACTTCAAAGACCAAACCTAACGACTCCACTACTAATATCTACTATTTAACTTTACAGAAAATTTATGAAAATGAATTGTTCACCAAATTAATGAGTTTGAATTGGATTTTGGATAATAAATTAAGGTTCCCTTTAGTTGATATTCTTATTTGTCTTTGATTTTTATTTCTTATTTTTTTTTAGTCGTGTTTTACAAAAATAAAAAATAAAAATATCAATCTAACGAAAAATAAATTTAAAATATAAAATTTAAACCATGAACATACCGTCACCAAGTTTTTAAAAAAGAATGACATTGTTAAATTTCATTAAAGAATTTGGAATAAGCTTTCATATATATATATATATATATATATTCATTAAAAATCAATTATTTTCAACTTCAAAATGTAAAAAATAAAATAAAATAATAATAATAAGAAAAGACTGGCTTTTAGAATATTATAGTCTTTTGACTGACCTCCTACTTTTCACTACTGGCCTCAACTCAAAACTTGACGCAAATAAAAATATATCCATCCAACGCCGAGTGATTAGCTGGAAACAAAGAAAGAGCTAGGTTCCCACAAGTTTCATGGATAAGGGGCAGATCTTTCCTTTAAGTGCCAAAATCTTGACCAGCGCTGCTGGAAACATTTCATTTTGGTTCCTGTTTAATTGTACAGCAGGATTTGGTAGCAGAAGAAAAAGGGGACTGAGCTTCTCTTTTGGCACAATTTGGTCGTAACTTACTTCTTGGTTACTTTGAATGAATTTGTCGAATTTTCAAAGTCAGTTCAGGTCCCATATGAGGCCAGGAACATTAATTTATTATTACACTAAAAGCTTAAAAGCTAGAAGACCAGTGAAAAGAAAATACTAGGAGGCAGTCAGGGCAGAGAACTGAGACTTTGTTTGGTCAAGAAAACGTGTTTTTGGGCCTAAGTCTAGGACTTCCTCTGTGTGTTTACCAGTGTTTTTTGGCTTCCACTTATGTTTCTGATCAAACCCTGTTGCGGCCGCTGTAATATCAGTTTCTTCTTATTCATATTTGTATTGTTGCAATTTATTCCTATTTTTTGCCTCCTTAATCACGCCTGGACAATCTTCCTAAATTAGTCATGTGTTCACAACGGATATATATATATATATATATATATATATATGGGTTCAATATTCCTGTGTTTTAACTTAAAAGTTTCTACTATCCAATTCCAGCCAGGCTCACAAAGGCTTTGGATTTCCTGGCATGCATGCCCAACTCGGCAGCAATATGCTAATACTACTAGTCAACTTGCGAAGGAGGAGAGTAACAAAACTACATGAACAAGGCAAAAGAAAACCAAGAAGAAGAAGAAAAGGAAAAGAAAAAAGAAACGAGTTCAATTAATATAAATACTGAAACTGGTTTTCACACGAATTTAACTTAATAACAAGAGATTAGCTGCTGCATCTAAAACTTATGCATGATGTAGCTGATTTCTGTACGAGTGATCCAGATTCAAAGGATATTGATTATGGTACTAGTACTCAGAGGGTGCAAGTGCCCTAGAACAGCTCATGGCTTGGCTTGGAGTACTTGCACAGTAACAGCAGACTCTCCAGGAAAGAGATGTTACAGACAAAGGAAATTGTAGAGAGACGTTTCAACTTTTTTGATGTTATGGTTCAGTACGCCTGGGGAAACAGATGACAAATGGCATGTGATGCGGTAGCTCAAAGTCATCCTTAGAAAGCGATCTAACTCAAAAATTCTGACCACTTCTTCATTTTGTCTGAAATTCTTTCAGCAGACCCATTACCATTTCACGCTGGTCGTTTACTGTATCATGGCTTTGAGAAATGCAAAAGTACCAAATGGAAGCGGCGATTTTAAAAGTCGGTCTCAAAATCTGGCATCACCAGATGGCATGGCGTTCCAAGTAATCAACATATAGTTTCTTCTTCCTGTTCTTCTCGCACTTGACTTCATTCTACTCTCCAAAAGCATAGGTTTACAGCAATATTCTAGTAATGTTAATTTCCCTGCTAAGGCCTAAATGTTTACTCAACGTATATATACACACATGGGGTCGAGCAGGCCAGGTGGTTTGTTAACAGCGACAAAGCCGTTGCCCTGCCAGACCCTCGCCACCTAGGCCTATTTAGTCGTGCTTTTGAACGTACATGGAAATCTTATTGGTCCCATTGTCATATGTTCTAAGCATCAGAATGGAGGTGTGAATGGATCAAGCCTACGGACTCAGACATCAGACCGACACCCAATAAAATTGGCGGGATACAGAGAAGATCATCATTGCCTAAGCGTTGTTCAAAGAAGACGAACAAGGAGACACAAGATAAAAGCTTCCTTGTCTTTGAATGAACCATGCAGGTGTGCAAAAATCACGCATAGGATTGAGAAATGCCAAGGTGGTTAGTTGTTACCGTTATCACCTGTATCAGGCCAACGACGACAAAGACATCAACCAATCAATCGATTCCTAGCATATTCTAATTTCGAGACCAATGACTAAAATCAAGGTGTGAAGCTTGGGTAATCACACTACCCTTAACATCGCAATTGAGTGGAAATACCACCACAAACCTTGAATTCAAGCTTCGACTTCTGTTTGTTAGTTTCTATACGTTTCTTTCCACCATTAATATCTCCTACCCTTTATACCAAAAGCACACTATTCGTTAAAAGCGTCCTCCAATTCCAACGATATTTTCAATCCAGCTCAAGACTTATCTTTTGAGCCTGATCATACTCGATCCATGCTCTCTCGAGCCTTGAAAGGTCATGCCAAACCTCTTGAATCCGAAGGAGGGACGCTGTAATCCAATCTTTTAGCTGCTAGTAGCGTCTAACAATGCACTTATATTTTGCTCCAAACCAACATTACCCATCGACTCGGAAGGTAGTCTTTAAATAAAACAAGTCAAACAAGTCTCTGTGCGGGCTAGAGAGAATGCGAGGGGAGTTGCAAGTGAATGGTTCTCCTACCTTCCCAACTACAAGAGACTGGGAGTTTTCAAATAGAGCCTTTGACATTTTGCATTCAATGAATTTCCGGTAAGGTTGGGGAGAGTGGATTTCGAAGCCTCACCTAGCCGACTGCTATCCCTTTAAGTAATGGTGACAATTAGGCCAGGCGGAAGACATGGCATGACCGATCAGCCAAAGGCCAGCACCCAGCAGTCACCATTATTCATGGCCCCGCCAAAGGCAACCAATCACTTGTGATAGCCACCAATTACTAGTTCTAATCCAGGTTACTCAAAATATGATACTTATGCATAACCCTTTTATGACCACAAAATCTACCTCATTAACTTAACCTGAAGTAATCCTTTATCATTATTTCGTAATCTTGTATTACCAAATCAAATCAATGCTTTCAAAAATTATTAAACTGAGCAAAAATAAGATTGAAACACATGGTCAGAAACAGTAGCAGATCCCTCTCCGGTGGGTGTGCCCCAGATAAAGAGGAAAAACATAAAATCTTGACTTCCAAGGATTGAACGGGTTACGTTCACATGACAAATAATGTCACAAAATTTCCCATCATTCTAACAATCTCCCAGTTATTAAATGAAGCAGCTCCTCCCCGAAAGTGTTGAAAAGGAAAAAAAAATCATATCCCTTTAATTCCTGAAAAGATTCATTGGTTGGTTACATTAAGAATTGACCACTGATAACAAGTCCAAGGCAAGATAAAAAAACACTACAACTCTGCAATAGGACTACAAATGCAATAAAAAGAAACATGCAATTGGCCAACTTTGGCACATAACCTGTATTAGGAAAAATTTCCTACCTGGATCGGTTCAATTATGCAGCAGCAGCCAATGGTACAGATCTGTAGCATGCTCTCTTGGCAGCGCGGACAATGTCTTCAACCTGCAGAATCCATAAATGAATAAATTAACCTATACAAATATCACATATGTGCAGGAACCAACCTAGCTGATTTGACAAAAGGTTGTATTAGGAAGAAGGGGAGTGGATTAAAGAAGAAAGACCCTAGTTGTCAGATGCCTTGAATAGAAGCTTGTAAAACTAGTCAAAATAAAAGCATTGGGAGAAAAGGAATGACCTGTGGCACAGCCATTCTCTCAAGATTTGCTGCATATGGCATAGGAACATCAGCTCCAGCAACTCTCTCAACCGGTGCATCAAGATAACCAAAACTCTCCTCAACTACAGATGCACTGTAAAAGAAGTATACCGTGTAAGTTATAGAAGGTGCCAGAATATTTAGTAAGCAGAAATTAAATGATTAAAGTGAAAAGACCCCAAACCAAATTTCAGCACCAACACCATGTTGAGGAAACCCTTCTTCAACTGTTATTAATCGGTTGGTTTTCCTGACTGATGTGTTGATTGTGGATCTATCTAATGGCCTGATAGAACGCAGATTTATAACCTGTATTTAACAAAAATCAGTCATTGCATCTCTTTTGAATTTGTAAGGACTTGCACTTCTGTGTGTTATAATTTACCTCAGCATCAATTCCATCCTTTTCAAGTATCTCAGCAGCCTGAAGAACAAACAGTCTCTTAGTTAATAACTCCACAAGCCAACATATTAGTACTATATAATTAAATTAT